TAGAGCAAGTCCTCCCTCCTCCCCGCCGCCTGCCGCCGCCGCCGCCGCCGCCGCCACAATCTCCTGGGCCGTCACCGCCTACTCCCCGGGCGCAGAAGCCTCCGAAACTCGACCAAAGACTAGGAGCCGCCACGTCACCCACACGTAACCCCACCCCCGCTGACTAGAGGGCGGTACCACGCCTATTCCAGCCCAGCACCCCCGGGGACACGCCCCCCACCCAAATACAAGAACGACTCCACTCTCCCATTGGCTAGGCCGCTGTCGTGACCCCGCCCCTAGGAACTAGAGCGGCGGCCCATTGGGCGGGGCCAGCCTCTGGGGAGGAGCCTTAAAGAGACCGCAGCCCGGGTGGTGCGGGCAGAGGGCAGCAGAGGCACAAGCGCTCCGGCTAGTACACGTTAGAAACTTTATTCTCTGGAAGCTGGGGAGGACTGAGGGCCGGGCAGGGGTCATCCCTTCTCCGGCTCCTCCCGGATTTCCTCCGGGTTCTCCTGGAACGTACACCCATGCTTGATTGACTGCCTCTTGGCTGTCCGCGAGCCCCGACGGCTGAACAAGGACAGCCGCCGCCACAGCACGGTGATCAAAAGGCTTTCGTTAGACTTGGGCTTCTGGTGGTCCGACGAGTTCTCATCGACCTCCTCGGTGTCTGCGAGGATGAAGCGGCCGCTGAACGCCCCTGACCCCTCTCCCGTTCCCTGAGCACCCCAGCTGTGTTTCTGTTCCCACCTTCCTCGACTTCCTCCGATCTGGCCGATCTGGCTGCCTTGGGCTTCCCACTGGGGGTTTTCACGTCCTTGTCTTGGCAGCAGCCCATGGCCCGCTAGGGCCCGGCTCGCCCGGCACTCGGTGCCACCACTCCAGCCCACTGGCTCCCACCGCTTTTGTGACGTCAGAGATCCCGCCGCCCCAGCTCCAGAGAGCAGCCGCCCCTTTAACTTCTCCCATCACAAAAGGCGCAGGGTCATGATGGGTGTCAGCTGTTTATTTACAAAGTGAGCTCAGGCCCCTCAGGGGCTGGCAGAGCCAGGCCGCTTCTTCTTTCTCCGCCCGGTTGGGAAGACCCCTGATGTCTGCTCCAAAGCAGGGCGCTGGCGCTTGGCAGCTGCCTCCAGGGAGGCCCAAAGTTCATCTGCCTCTGCGTCTTCCGAGGACAACTTAGCCGGCTCTGGAGGCTCTGGCGGCTCATCCTAGTGAGTGGAGAAAAGCTTAGGAGTCGGGCACAGGCAGACCCACAGGGGAGGGGGCTCTTGGTTCCAACCTTCCCAGACCCATCTGCTTACCTCCCAGTTATCCCTGCCTGACAGAAGAAGGCAGTTCAGCTGAGACTTCAGATAAACCTGCAAGAGACCAGGGACCTTAAGGAGTCAAACACAGTGAAATGGACAGAAGTATGAGTGGGGGGCACAGGAGACAGCAGGCTCTCACCTTGTGCTCCAGGCCCCGTGGATTCCGGATCCTGTGTACCCTCAGGATTCTGTCCAAGCCACAGGAGGCTAGGAGAGGCTTCGAAGGGTGGCACTGGAGCCCTCTGACACTGCCTGCCAGCCCCTTCAGGCAGCCCAGTAGGCGCCCTGGAGAAAGGGGGAGGCGTTAGGCGAGCCACGCCACCAGTAGTATTTATTGTTGAAATCACTTTTTATTTCGGGATTTAATTCCTAACATAACACTGAGATAGGAGTTACCATTATATCCATTTTACAGGTCAACTATGCACAGGGAGTTGAAGTAACATGCCCAAGGTCATACAGCTTTTGAAACCAGATTTGGAACCCAGACAAACTGATGCCTAAATGAGGGTTCAACTGCCCCAGGGACTGCCCCACCCTCCTGCAAGGCTCCCCAGTCCACTACCTTGCCGAAGGTCAATTTCTGCCAGCTGCCCATGAGTGTTTCCTACAATCACCGAGCTGAAAGGAGAGCAGAGGCAGGTGGGGTCCGCAGGAGCCTCCTGAAGCCCTGACCCCACTCCTGCCCTCTAAACACTCACTTGCCCCCGGGAGTGAGAGTCATAGCGGTCAGCGGGTACTCTCCATAGGTGGCCTCGAGGACTGGCCGGCGTTGTGGGGAGGCTGGATCATAGACACGGACCTGGAAGAAGACTTAACTGTCACAAGGGTACCCTCACCCTGTACCCCCACATCTTCACCCCACACCCCATCTTCACACCCTCCTTCATATAGTGCTTTCCTGTTTATGATCCACTCTTAGAGAAACTTTCTCATTTGAGTGTGTGTGTGTGTGTGGGGGCGGGGGAGAACAGCTTAGCAGCATAAATGGACAGGGCAGAGGGGAGTGACCCCCCCAGGTGGGGAAGTGGCAGCATTCCCTGGTCTTCATGCGTGACCATCCCATCCCCCAGTACTCCCATCTTGGTGGAATGGAAAAGCAAGTCAGTCCAATTGTCAGCGGATGCTGAATTTCAAGCCCAGAGGTTTAGCCTGAACAAGGGAGGACAGAGGAAGTCCTCAAGTGTATTTGTAGCAGAAGCAAATCACCAAGATCAGACTTCAATATGCAGGGCAAAGGCAACAGCAAATCCATGACCCAGTCCTGCCTGGGTCAGGGCTGTAACGATCCCCAGCCGGGCCCTTCCTATGGGGCTGAGGAGCTGAGGCCAGAGGAGAGGCAAGCCTGGGTCCTGCAGCAAATCAGAGGCTGCATCAGGACCAGAGACCCAGTTCTCTGGACATGCAGCCCAATGTCCTCTCGTGACACCTGCTGTAAATCTACTGTGAAGGAAATGCTCCCTCCTCCCCTGCCCTCCTCTCTTCCAGGTGGAAGAACATGAAGAGTCCTAGTTCAGAAAACGCCATCCCAGAACACAGTAAGAGAAGGCTACGGGGCTGAAGTGGACAAAGGCGTGCTCCCTCCTCTGAGAGCTCAGGTTTGGGAGGGTGGTGAGAAGGATGGCTGTGACAAAGGATGGGGCAGAACCTCTGCAGGGGGCTGTTTCTTTAGGAGGCTGCTTAAGCCCAGTAGGAGGTCAGGGTGGGGTGGTACCTCACCTGGTGGTACCCTGTACAGGTGACGAGCTTCTGCGACTCAGGGAGGAACTGTATGTCCTGGTCCCAGATGGGAACTCGCAGGTCAAGCCAGTCATTCCGTACCTGGGGGAGCGGGTCAATGGGGGACAGGGCTGTGGCGAGCTAGTGTGCCCCTCCCTGTCGCCCTCCGTCATCATCCCCTAAAGCCCATCTGGTCTCTGACGCATGGTCAGCGGCCCCAGCCTCCCTGGGTCCGAGGTCACTCACGTTCTTGGCTCTGAACACAGGCTCCTCAGACCCCTGCAGGTCCCACACCTTCAAAGCATTCTCCTTCCCACCTGTGGCAACTACGTGGGGGTGCACTGGGTCTTGCCGCATCCTACACACCCCAGGGCCCACCCTCAGTTCCAGGAGCTGAAAAGAATGAGAGATGAGAGGGGAAATGAGAGTCAATTCCTGGATCCCTAATCCTCCTCCCCCAAAGCCCTCATTCAACTCCTACCCTGGCTCCCACCTTCCCCAACCACGAGGATCAGGGCAGGGGAGCCTCACTGGGTCAGAGGAGGTCTCCTTGTCGTTGTCACCCCAGACGCGGAGAACCCCAGAATCCACACATGTGATGAGGGTGCTGCAGGGAGAGGAAGGATAGAGTCAGGGTTAAAAAAAAAAAAAATGTGAAAATATTCTTTCTCTAAGCCCAGTCGACCCACCCCCACATTAACTAGACCCCCAACCAGCCCTCCTCCTCAGAAAGCCTCCAGGTAACGTAGGTCTGGACAATTTTTGGCTTCAGTGTATATTATTTCATTTCCTTGACAGAGTGAGGTTTTATAAGTGAAGAAACGGAGGCTCTGAGCCATTAAAAGGTTTGCCCACTCAGCAAATGTCAGAACCAGAAATCAAGTCCGTGATGCTCCAACGCAAAGTGCCTTTGTAACCCACAGCTACATCTAGGGGCACCTGGCCCTGCCCGTCTTTCTGAACCTTTCTCCGGTCACCAGGGGTCAGGATCAGTAACTCTGCAAGGACTGAAATGGCACCGGTCGGGAGTTAGGGTTTGGCCAAAGTCAAACACCAGCTTCAGTTCCCTGTCTGGGCTCCACGTGCTCACTGTCAGTCTCCCCCACAGTGTACTCCTCCCAAGGAGCCCAAGCGAGAGTCTCCCTAGAAGCTGCCAGCCCCAGCCTATGCTCTTTCTCACATTGCCCACCCTCTCCACCTTGGTTCAGGGTCTATATCGCCTGCCTGGGCTGTGGCAATAGTCTCCCAACTGCTCTCTCCCCAGCTCATCCTCCACACCCCTACAGGCTCACAGCTTGGGCCACAGCCCTGCTGCTCAAAAACCAGTAACTCGCCACCGCCTACAAGACAAAAATGGCACGGACAGCCCTCTACAATGAATCCCAACCTACCTTGTCCATCTCGTGTTAAAATGCTTCCTCAGCGTCCACCCCGCCAAATGCAATTTATCTTCCCTGCGAGGTACCCTGTGGCCTGACACCAATCCTTGGCCTCTGCCCAGGCAGCAGCCTCTTTCTAAAATGCCCTCTTCTCTCCACTGTCAACATTTTACCAATCCTTCAAGGCCTGCCTTAAGCTTCTCACTCCCCGAGCCTCCTAGACCTCACCTGCCAGAATTAGAGCCACCAAACCCACACAGCCTGCCCACAACCTCCTCTTCATTTAGGAAGAAAGCGAGGCCAGTCACTAGCCGCCAGCACTTTCCTCCTAACTTTCCTTTGGGAGCTTCCTCACATTGTGAGTGGCTGTGAGTCCCCAGTTAAAGGCATCCTCTGAACTATGAACTGACTTGCTCAGGGTCACTCAAAAGGTTATGGAATCAGGAGAAAATCCCTCGGGGTGCAAACGGTGTAACAGCGGGTACTGTGCGTGTCTGGGTTACTGCAGCCCTCGCATTCTGCAATGCCTGGCACTCGGCAGGGGTTCAATAACCGCTCGTTACAGGCATGAACGCAAGAAGGCAGGACACACGCCCCTGTCTCCGAGGCCAGGTCCGAGCCCCCTAAGGGTTGATGGCCATTCCTCGGCCGTCCCACGGGAGCCTCTGCGCTCTCCCTACCCGTTCAGCGAGGGGCTCAGGCTTACCCGTCCGCCTGGGCGAGGCCTCGGAACGTGCCCTCCCCGCCGGGGCAGTGCCTCTGGCCCCGGAATCTGCCCTCCTCGATGCTGAAGTGCCTCACTGTCCGGTCGGCACAGCCCATCAGGATCTGCGGGTAGAGGAGGGCAGGAGGGATGGAGGGCGGGATGGCAAGGACCGCGAGGCTGCCGGCCCCCCGGCCCC